TTTGGGTGTTGCTTAACTGAGGCCCCTCTCGTGCATTCTCTGATTTAGATGTTGTTATGATGGAAGAAGACTTCGATATCTTGAAGTTCTATCATTTCCTCTCTCTCTCTCTCTCTCTCCAATGCATATGTGATATGTGTAATTACGTCTGTGTTCGGTTCATAAATAGTGATGGCCGAATTTTTTTTGGTCAAGAAAGAAACAGTACTAGGTTGGCTACTGATAAATTGATTTTCATTCTTCAGGTGTTCTTTATAGCCAGTGGAGATGGCCTCCCTCATTCGGTGGTGGAGCCAAACGCAATAGAGGAATATGCTTGTAAATAGGCTTGTCATTGGTGGGGATTTAATCTCTACTCCTTGTTAATAGGCTTGCTTTCCTTAATTGGATCAGTTTAGGTGTCAATAGAGGAATTCTTTTTTTGGACGTAATGGTATTAATAAATTAGGGTTGTTTGACGGTCTATATAAAGGGACGCCAAGCCTAGAGTTTACCTTGTAAAAAATAACTCCTGCCGTTTTCCCTGGTGACTTTTGCAAAAGTAAGGCTTTTCTTCTGTGTTGGCGGGGAGATAAACTAATTGCAATGGAGAAATCTCGGTACAGTGCAACAACTAAAATAGCTCTTTCTTTTGGTCGTTTGTGCTGTTCCTTTCTTACAACTCTTTTCCTTTCATGTATGTTCTTTATTCGCTCCTTAAGCCGCTTTGACTTTTGTTTGTTTATGACTTTTGTTTGTTTCATGTATGTTCTTTCTTTTGTTTTGTTGTTTAGCATGTCGAGCCATGATACTAAGAAAGTTGTTGGATCCATATTGACTACCTTTGGAGCCATGGAGACGACGTTCACTGAGTTGTACGATAAGATTAAATCTTTGACTGCAATGATAATGAAAACTGATACTGAATTTCAAGTGCTAAAGAGGCTGTCGAAACGCATTCTTTATCAAGCATCTGGAAGTTCACCTCCCACTGATGTTCCTGTCACGCCTACCGTAAAAAGAGTTTATTATATTGATTCAAACCCAGATTCAGATCGCGATGGCGATGGTTCACACAAGAGGCAAAAATATGCGGCCATGGAAGATTTAAATGAGTCGGTGAAGGTATATAGAATTTATTTAAACAATTTGCACTTGTGTCATTTTAAAGTGTTTATGATGTACCTATGTATTGTAATTTTTGTTAAATTCAAATCGTAGATGGAATTTCCGGTGACTGCATCTGGAAGTTCAGCTCCCACTGTTGTTCCTTTCACACCTAGCGTAAACGGATTTATTTATATAGATTCCGACTCAGACGCAGATGGCGATGATTCACACAAGAGGCCAAAAAATGCGGTTGTGGAATATATAAATGTATCGGGGAAGGTATATAGAATTTATTTAAAGAAATTACACCTGTGTGATTTTAAAATGTTTATGATGTACCTATGTATTGTAAGTTTTGGTAAATTCAAATCGTAGGTGGAATTTCCGGTGACTGCAATAATGGCGTTAGATAATGATGAGGATCGTTCCATTGCGTGTTTCATCTTTGGTGATGGTCTACAAGATGATAAATGGCTTGTTGAGAATTTTGGCCATAGTTTAAGTCGTCTAGAACTGAAGGACTTGCTGTCAGAAACGTGGCTTCATGGTTATGTAAGTATTTTGTACACCTGTTTTGGTAAGGCATACTTGACCACATATTAGCTATACTAATCTTTGGTTTTGCTTATTTTAGATTTTGACTGCTGTAGCTTGTAAATTAGCTGTTGATGTTAGGGCTTGGGGGAAAAATGGACCTTGGTATCTTCCATCCAATTTTGAGGTAAGCAACAATTATAGAAAACTCTTTACAGTAACTTTACTTTTTTCTTTCTCCCAAAGTTGAATAGTGAATGTGAACTGCTACCCAGGATTTGGTTTTGAAAATGGGTTGGACTCCAAAAAAAGCCGTGGAAAATTATAAGAACCTATATCTTGGCGGCACCTTTGAATGCAACAAGGTATGGTGTAATAATATTAGTAATTTTTCCAGGGTACTCTATTCTCTTAATGTTTTGCCCTTTACTGTATAGTCCATTCATTGTTTCGTCATCATTTACTTGTTTATTTATTTCAGATATATTTGCCAATGAATGATGAGAACCGTCATTGGTTTCTTATTGTGGTTTTCATGGACCAAAAGGTAGTGCATGTAGTGGACTCTTTCCCTATTGATTTGGGTGTGCTGGAAAATCGTAGGAAAAGGGTGCAAGGAATGGTGGGTGATCAAACTATTCCCTTCTATAAATTTAGTAAGTAAATTTTCTTATTCTAAATTTTTGTACTATAATAGTTACGTGGTTAAGTTTGTTGTTACAGTTGAAATTCTTTTACAAGATGCTTCAAGAATTTCCAGACAAGCCATCAACCTATGAAGTGCCCAAAGTGCATAAGTTCCAAATCATAAGTCCTCCGTACGTTTCTAAGCAAATTGATGAGTTAGTATTTCTTTGAGTATTTTGATTATTTCATTTCGATAAACAATCTTATTTTCAATAATAAATGCTATTTTCCCACGTAGCTATGAGTGCGGGTTTTACGTCTGTCAGTGGATGTTGCACGGAGAGGCTGATAATAATCGTATACGGCGGTATAATACAATCCTTTCCTTCTAAATATGATTCCATCCACGTGAGATTCTACACTATCAAATCGAAATCAACATGTTAAGAGTAATGTTCTAAATTTGGTCCAGGTTTGTAGTAATAGAGGTCGATTATCCTTGGCCATAAGTTTAGTCAAAGATCTCTCAAATACAAGGCGCTCTCAAATTATTGATGAAGCAAGGGCCGTTTATGAAAGACATTTCAAGGGGAAAATCAGCTCAAAATGCCAGAGGAGTTTATTTGATTCATTTTAGAAAATTAGTTGTTTTTGTTTTATTGGTAGTCGGTCGGTTTTATACTTTTATTAGTAGTCGGTCGGTTTTACTATCGCTTTGATCCCAAATGAATTCATTTTAGATTGGTTTTGGTGTTTACCTTTATTTTTTCTTAAATCCGAATGTTGGTTCTCGTTTTTGTGGCTTTGTTCCTGATGCTTGTTCAGCTGAGATAAGGCTTAAAGAAGGCGCCTATGCATGAGCCTTAACTGCCGTGATTTCATTATGGTATTGAAGGGACTGGGATTGTATAGAAGAAGACGACTTTGACCTTTCGTCTGGTCAGTGGGCTTTTTTGTTTATCTTTATTTCGTCCCAAAAAACGCGCCAATTCTTGGCTTTGGCCTTTGGATATCTCATATCTTGCCAATGCCACCGGAGGACGCCGGAGATGTATGCGTTCATCAGAGCAAACCTAACCATGTTGGATCCAACAAATAGCTTCAATAACAAAATTTTAACCCAATAACAAGTGTTTTTAGTTGCTCAGAGCTGGATCGTATCGAGATAGTGGTAGATTGATAATGTATATATAGTATGTTCTCCAACTAGACCCTGTAACTTAAAGTCAGTTACAACTAATTTGTCTTTAAATCATAGCAGGACAACTAAATATCGTCAGAAAGTCAAAGAGATTCAAGGGTATTGTTTTGGTTCTCAACGAACATGAAAAGGGAACGAGACAAGCAGACAATTTAAACAATTCAAGGGTATTGTTTTGGTTCTCAACGAAAATAAAAAGTGAAACAAAACTAGAGTACTGGCAGGACAACTAATCAACCAAAAAATTCATAAACGTTTGCAGGAACCAATATCCAGAATATACTAGTGCAGGAGAAATGAACCACTATCTCCCTATGAATCTTCTAGTTCTGGATTACGCTCTTTTGGCTTTCTTCCTTGTACCTACGAGTTTGGGCAACAAATCTCGATGCATTCCTATTTGCTTCCTCGATGACGACATGTCTTATGTAATTTGTAGGCTGTTGGACCAGATATAAAGCTAGTTGCATTCTCCTTATATCTCCGCATGGCTGCAACAGTTTGACAATGACAATGAGGCTTAGTAGCTGTTTCGAAAGGTTGTTTTCCTTCAAGGCCAAGTAGGAGAATTCTTGCTTACCCATATATTATAAGAAGAATCCCAAGATGCACCCATCATCCATGAGCACACCCAAACGCCACTATCAGACCTACATAAAATAAGATGCAGCATATGAGTTGTGGGTATCTAAGTATGTTTCTAATTTATTCACAACGAACAATTCTTACTCGTGACGTTGTTCGGGAATTGAAGGAATTGTCAGAGAAAATTTTTCCAGCACAGGTGGATCAAGTGTTGGTTCCACTTGCCGATAAAGATCCTCAAACAAGCCATCAAGAAATTCGATCTACATAAGCAGTAATCAATTTATTCGAAATAGATGAAAACACAAATTATTCGGATCAGGAGGTCAAACCATACCATAGTTACTACTGCGTTTCTACGAGATCTTTGGCGCTTTTTAGAAGGATACGAATCCAAAAGATGGACTTGTTTGTCATCCAGCATAATGACAGCTAAATACCAGTGAACTGCATCACCGTCCATTGCATCTTTCATGGGCAGACACACCTAAATAACGACGAGAAAGACCAAACTCAGCTGAGCATTGTAAAATACAATTTACAGAAATATCAAAAGCTTGATGGAGCATCTAATTTATTCACATATCCAATTCAAACAGTAGCTAGAAACAGTAATTGAGGAATATTTCAATGCAACAAGAAATGACTTGTTAAGAAGAAACCTTTCTGCACGTGTGAGCTCTTGCCAAGAACTTTGCACCGTAACACTCTAGAGCTTTTTTTGATGTCATGCCATAGTTAATCACCATTTCCTGATCATGGTTCATTTAAAATAGAAGATAACACATTTAATAGGAGAAACGGAATATTGCACCTAAAATAAATATATAAAGTATATGGGACTATACTTGTAGTTCAGCAGGCAGATAACAGACTACTATTCCATCTCCAACATCCCTCCAAACTTCCTCCAGGCTCAATTGGCAAGCCATGGCTGTAATTACATTATCACCGACATTAGACTTAGGGCAGAGGGACCACAACACCTGTCGTGTATAGGATTGCATCATGGTTTCGACCAGGATTTCCTTTTCTGGAAGATCCTTCGCAAATATGTAGTGGGCAAGGTTCACTTCCTCTCTAGTGTACTTGAGAACTGTTGGAAGTGTAAACTTTGTTTCACCCTACAATAGAAGAAGAAACATAAGGATAAAAACAATTGATTTTGTTCTAAGCGGGGAAAATTGGAAGGCTAGATTATCATACCTTCTTGGCGAATTGTAAGTAAGAAAATCTGGTACGGCCTTTCCTAACTAAGTCATTCCAATCTGCCTGCAAATCACCATCAATCTGGATCACACCATCTTCAGTTCTACCTTTCTTTCCTCGAGATTCATCCTTCTCCAGCAAAGAATTCATCGTAATAAAAACACAATGCCTTAATTCAGTTCTGCCAACGATGGAGAAAAGGGGAAAAGAAGAATGCAAATTGACGAACCATTAATTTGGAAGAACTTCTGGTCTTGCGTTTTGTCATCATCCTGCCGTCCTTATCATTCTGCATATTGCTCCTGGTTTCTGCCCCTTGATCGAGCTCCTGTACTGTTGTCCTGAATGAGCTCATGGTGAATGCAGAAAAGGAGTTAGCAATCTTAAAATAGGGCCAGCCGCCAACGGGTGAGTGTTTTTCTCTATAAGGATACTGGAAACTTTATCTTCCTCATTAATCTCCACATGGAAAAGGAAAATAATATTGTATACGGGTAATAATTAATATGGAAACAATCCACATCCCATATTTGGAAGTTGAATCTACCATATATAACAGGCAAGCATTTTTCAGTAATTTTTTTTCGGTAATTCAAGCATTCTTTATTAGTTGCATTCTTTATCCAACTAATTAGCTGCATTCTTTATCCAACTAGTAACCATAACGGGAAACAATATAATAAAAATTTAAAGTACTAAAATATAATAAAAATGTACACCATGATGGGAGAAAATAGAAAAAACTAATAACACGTGAATAACGGATTAGGTTAACAACAACAGCAAAAAGACCTCTGCTTTGTGCCCGATACAGCCCCTCCCCACAAAGTCACAAACAACAAAAAGACGGCACACCAATGGAGGAAGAGGGAGATAATATCAACAACAATGAAGACAACGATGTTGAAATCATACCAGAAACAATGACCTCTGACAGCGATGGTCCTATTGTATAGGAGGATGACACAAACGTTATTCAAAATTTTCCTTTTATCGGTCAGGAATTCAATGATTTTGAGGATGCATATGCATTCTACAACAACTATGCTAAGAGTTGGGAGTTTTCTGTCCGTCGCTCAAGGAAGGTTAAGAACGTCAAGGGAGAGGTAACAAGTGCAGCCTTCGTGTGTTCTTGTCAGGGAGTTCGAGAAGCACATAAAGGTCAACAAAAGAGGGAGTCGCCTATGGAGATCAGATTTTAGTGCATGGCTATGTTTCGTGTGAGCTTGAACAAGACAAGCAATAAGTGGGTGGCTGATATATTTAACTCACAACACACTCATGACCCAGTTATGCAGAATCAGGTACATTACTTGAGGTCGCATCGAGGATTAACAGAAGCAGACAAGGCAGACCTCCGATTTAAAAAGGATGCCGGAATGAAACCTTCTCAAGCCATTAAGCTTGCTGTGCATTGTGCTGGAGGGCATGACAAACTTGGGTATACAGTTAAAGATGGGTTAAATTTCAGCACCAAAGACCGCGCTGAGAGAATCAGCGAGGGTGATGCAGCAACTGCTCTGGCCTATCTAGAATCAAAGAAAACCACAGACCCACACTTCCTCCTCCGATACACTACTGATGAGGAAAAAAGGCTCCATTTTTTATTTTGGGCTGACAGCATTTGCAGAGCCGACATTTCGTGTTTTGGAGAGTTGCTCGCATTTGACACAACGTACCAAAAAAACATTTACAATATGCCACTGGTCATTTTTACAGGTACGCCATCCTAGTATGCCCTCTAAGTATTATCCTTTGCTTTGTTGTTTGAATACACATAATGGCATCTACAAAACAGCAAGTTTCTGATTATATGAATTCTACCATTGTTTACATATTCCTCACAGTTTTAGCTTTTCTCCTGCTAGTTCAAAAGATTCTGATTTTTCCGAGTTTCTGTTTAACATTGTAGGTATCAACCATCACTTCAAAACTTGCTTATTCGGGAGTGCACTGTTGCCCAATGAGACTGACGAAACCTATATTTGGGCGTTGAAGATAGTGAAGGAAATGTTGGGGGACATTCCGCTACGTACAGTTGTCACGGATGGGGATAAAGCAATGATGAAAGCTATTGCTAATGTGTTTCCAAATGCAACACATCGGCTATGTGCATGGCATTTGTCCAAGAATATCACTGGCAGGGTGAAGAATCGACCCGACTTTGAACCCCGGTGGAAGAAGTTAGTAACTGCTGAGTACGAGCCAGAAGAATTTGAGGAGAAATGGAATGCATTGGTAGAGGAATGCGAACTCTAGAACAACCAATGGGTTTCGAAAAAACTATTTGGGAGACGCAACGAATGGGCGGACACATACTTGCGCTCACATTTCTTTGCTGGGTTGACAACCACATCAAGATGTGAAAGCATAAATGCGGTTGTTGCAAGGTATGAAAATGAGAGGTTCTGTTTGCTTGACTTTTTCACTCAATACGATCGGTGGCTCAGAGACATGAGAGAGACAGAGATTAGATTAGATTTTGAGTCTAATTATGGTGTAGTTCCTATAAAGAATTCAATCCTAAAGCCCCTCGAGCAAAGTGCAACAAAGCTTTTCTCAAAGGCTGCATTTCATTTGTTCAAAAATGAGTTGGAGGAGGTTATTGGAGTCATTAAGGGTAACCAAACTGAAGAGGGGAACCTACACACTTACACTGTTACCATGTTCAACAAAGAGAAGGTCATAGAGGTGAAATACAACATTGAAACAAGCGATATGGATTGCAGTTGTCAAAAGTTTAAGAGTATTGGGATACCCTGCGTTCATATGCTATTTGTTCTCAAAGAAGAAAAAGTGAAGACTATTCCTGAAAAACTGGTACTTAGACGTTGCTCGAAGAACCCAAAGTCCCTACACACTCTGCCAGAACCAAGTACATTGGGGGATGACAGCAGTTTCAGCATTAGGTACGGGTCGCTACAGTTCATGGCTCAACGATTCTGCTTATTAGGAGCGGACACTCCTCTCTCTTATCGAATGGCTCAAGATGAGTTGACAGCAGCGTGTAACAGATCGGGGCATGTACTAGGAGCAATACTAGTCAACAAGAGAAGGGAGCAGAGAAGCATACAGGACATAGTGCTGGGAGTACTAGTCGGCATGATGATCGTCCAAGCGATGAACATGAACTGGTACTTTTCCAATCACACTAATGATTTAACCAGCAAGATTAGATGATTCTTTGTGTTGGAAGTTACATGTTTAATATTATTTTTTCTTATTTTGGTCTGCTACAGAAACAACATCAGACTAGAACCCGTGGTGCAAAGAACAGAAGCATCAATAAAAACAAATGAAGTTCACTAGCACTTCCATAGCAAGAAGTTGAAACGCCCATGGAAAGCAATGACCACTTTTTATTGAGTTTACAGTTTTATTATTGATTTTAGGCGACAAAATCTTTTATCTTGGTATATTTCACAAAAGTAAACTCCATCGACACTTCATATTTTTGTTGGACGAAGGGTACATTGCGGGACATGAACTGTTTGCAATTGAAAGGACATACCTGGCTTTTCTTCTTTGTTCTGTTTTTTTTTTTGTGTGTGTGTGAAGCAGACCTGGCTAGCTAATGCCTCACGGGTTGCTCCTCAATAAACTGTCAGCATAAGAACAGGTAGATCTTTGAATCAGATGTTGAAGCCAAATATATGGAAACCCATTCATGTGTCTAACCAGTATAGCCGCCTAAAATTGTAACAGTGACATTGGAAATGCGTAATTTACCTCCAGTCTGAAGTGCTTTATCACGCCATAGAGGGTTCTCCTCAAGAAACTTCTCAAATGCAAGTATCTTCTGTGGTATTCCCTTAATCATATCAAGACGATCAACCCCTAGCATCACCTATTAAAGAGTAGGACGTTTACATTCAAGAATGAAGAAACGAAGCCAGTGACTTTTAATCAGTAGGTTGCTTTCTCTTAAGCAAGTAAAACAACATATGTAGGTTAAATTCAGGTTAAACCTTACGGCCACGAAACCTTTCCATCAGTTCTTTTATGTGCTCCTGCACCTTAGGGAGCTTAAGAGCTGATATAACCCTTTCTGAATCTATCCCTATTGGAAACTGAACATACATGAGAGTGCTACAATACTTGGTCTAGTAAGGGCTTACCCTACTAAATCTGCCGCGAGAACTGAACGAAGTAGCTCTGATCTATTTAGATGACTTTTATGTTCTATTTAGATTATTTTTATGTTCTGTTTAGAACCCATCTATCATCAAAGGCCAGATCTGTCAACAAACACTCGAGGCTTAGATACCTGTTTTCGATGCCCAGTACCCTGCTTGTGCTGCTCCCATTCATGGCCTCCTCGAAGCACCTTAACTCCTCGAAGTTCCTTCAAGTTCCTCCTCCTCCCCCGATTCGCAAGCCTCAAATCAACATGAAAACAAAACGAAATAAAAGAAACGAGTTCAGAAACCCAAAGTTTGGACTCGGTAATTGGGAGTGTCCAGTCATGTCCTGATTTTTATAGGAACTCAAAGAAACGAAATGAAAACTTGCATAGCAACTACCTGCAATCGTTCCTTAGGGGGCCTTTTTAATCCGAGGGAATGAGACCATAAATGCCGCTCTTACCAATCCAGATTTGTTTTGTATGCATCTTGTGCCAAACAAAGAGGAAATCAATTTCTACAAAAAAAAAAAAGAGGAAATCAAAGAACTGAAAACGAAAACCAAAATTTCGGGGAAGGAAAAGGAGAAGGAAACGCGAGATTTCACTAACTCTTTATCTTACAGTTGGAGCATCTTCGCCTAACACAACCGATAGGAACATCCCCAAATCCACCAGGTTTCATCAACCGAGCAACTCATCGGCAGCTACGCGGAACCGCCGTCGCCAGTCGATGGAATGATTGGAATCGTCAACTCTCTCTCTCTCTTCTCGTCGACAGAAATGCGTAACCGCCATCGCCTCTCTCTCTCTCTCTCTCTCTCTCTCTCTCTCTCTCAGATTGACGACATGCAAGATAGAATGAGAATGGGGGGTCAGAATGAAGGAAACGTTTCTGGGGGACGAATTCAAAAGACACGCAAATTTTTGGCGGAAAAAAGCGCTATTCTGAGAAGGTAAAAGCCAAATTTTAACAATTTTGAATTTTGTTTTTAAGTTGCATTTTGCCGCTACCATGTACACTTTTTCTTACTCATTTTTGTAATGAAAAATTAGAGAATGGATGGTTATTACTTTTTTCAATTCACCACAAATAAAATTTATCATAGTTTCAATATTAAAATATGAAATTAATTTCGTATATAACTGATAGACCCAATATTCAACCAACATCACACAACCGTCACAAACCATTTTTAGGTGATCACAAGGAGAATAATGATAAAATCATATATATGTGTAAGCTAATGGTGTTGGTATCTACTATTGGTTAAAACATTGGGTTTGGGTGCTCTCCCCTCCAAAATAACCCCATCAAACCAAATTACATCCATGGAATGGTTTCTTAAAGCTAAACCCATGTGGATGGCGATTTCTATTTGCTTACCTCCAACCAAATGATGTATTAACACATCATCACCTGCCATTTTCCATGTGTACGAATTATTAAGAGCAATTAGTTGATGGATGGTAATGGAACCCTTACCTATACTATTCCTCACTCAAACCACCAATCATCAAACTTATCCAACCCTTTTAACTTGGATAAGAGGTGGAGAAAGATGGATGTGTCAACACCAACGTGGCCTTAGGCAAAAATGAGGTGGAAATTCTACCGCCCACCATTTACCACATACACATGAATTAAAAAGATCACTTTCCCATGCCTCCACATACAAAAGGCAAGGTGGATGGGTGTGTTATTTACTCTCAATTAGTTGGATTTTAGCAAGAGAGTTGGCCACAAAAAGAATCTCAATTCATTACTACCTACACGTCTTCCACATACTTATATACATGGCTTTGTAGAAAGACACTAGGTAAATCAATTTATTTTATTTCTAATTTTATTTTGATATGTGTTTGATTGTAGCCATCCACCCATTGCACTCGGGTTGTCTGGGAGGTAACATATTATTTTTATTTTATTACGAGCACATCATCTACGCCAAAAGCAGGAGGCACCTATAAATAAGACGTTCATAGTCACATGTATATTTGTCACAAATAATGTCAATTGTGGTAATATTTCTGACACAGATACACTTTTCGATGTCTAGTTGTCACAAATAATTACATGCTTGCACTACAAGAAAAAAGAGTTTTAGCTACCATTTTCTTGGCAACCTTAGAAAAATGATTGCTTATAACCAAGTTTCGACAACCATTCACAAAATAGTTGGTAATACCAAACTCTAGTGCAACCATTAGTAAAATAGTCGCTGGTAATGGCCAGTTGATGCCTCAGGAAACCCAAAAATGATTTGTCTAACACAAAACTATTTCTTCATTGCAACTTCCACAATTAGCTAACCCTGAAAATCCACCATCCCCCGTACATTCCATGCACTGCTATTGTAATGTAACCATCTATGTCATCATTCTTGGTGCAGCAATGATAATGCTTAAAGTGTTGGTTGGCAAACCACGTGGTTCTACATCCCCATCAACACTAACGACACAAATCAAATGTACCCCGCGGCAGAGTGCAGGCTAATTCCTAGTATATATCAATAGTCATAAAAGCATAGGATCGTTTTACTTTGTATGATTGTATCCCTTGATAATAACAAAATGGATAAGATACAAAACCCACCACTAAAACAACATATCTATAACTATCAGTGTTGTCAAGTCAAAATTGATTATTGTCTATTTTTTTCTCAGTTTATGATAATATCTCAAAATTAAAATTGTTGATGATTGCTTTTCCTTTTTCAAATTTATTATGTACCCAATTTCTTTTTCCCGTTGATTTAGTTACTTTTTTTGAACTTTTTAATTGAAGGAAGCATTAAATAGGCGGCGGTTTTTCTTTTCCATTGAAAAAGTAAACAAAAAAATGGACTAAACGCAAACCGCTACTTTCTGCCATTTTTATGCTTCCGGGACCGGATCAATGTCCGGGTCCGGTTTTTTTCGGGCTAACCGGCCGGTCTGGCCCGGTTTTCACATTATTGATAACTATACATTTTAATCACACCTAATGGTTCAAATTCATTTAAAAAATATGGTCAGCTCCCCATAAATCCCTTATTTCCCTCTTTACTGTTCATTGATATGGACCATTAGATCTTTCCTTTCCAAATTACAACCATTGGATTAGATTTTGTAGGACTACAAAATCATGGTTTTGTACGGTAACCTGCACCATATTAAGGGAATGGATACGGTACAAAATTCACATGGATACGGTACAAAATTCACCACTACAATACTCAATCATTTAAAAAAATTCCGTAGAAAGAATACACTTATTATGCACTACACAATTATTAGTCATACAATTATTAGTCATACTGCGACTAGGGATGGCAATGGGTCGGGTTGGGTCGGGTTTTGTCAAACCCAAACCCAAACCCATGGGTTTATCTTTGAAAAAAACCCGGGGTAAAACCCACTGGGTTTGAAAAACTCAAACCCAACCCAACCCGTTGGGTATCCGTGGGTTCATGGGTACCCACGGATTTTGTCGTAAAAAATTTACAATTACAAGTTCTTATCAAAATTAAAGTCAAATATCAATATCTCAATGCAACTTATCCATATATAAAACACCATTCTAGAAAATTCAAGCAAATCACAAATTAACTATACAAATTGTTCAACACCAATCTAGAAAACTCAAGAAAATTGAAGCAAATCACAAATTATCCATAAATAACATGTTTAATTGAAAGCTTCTTCCTTTCAATTAAGTTTCTTTACTCTCCACTCCATAACATCAACTTCTAACTACACAATTAAAAAGAAAAAATTAGACATGTCTCCACAAACATAAATAAGATTAGTTGTTTAGAATATTAAATATACCAAAAAAATTAATTATATGGGTGGGCGGGTACCCACGGGCTGGGTTTACCTAAACCCAAACCCAACCCAACCAGGTGAATAGTGAACGGGTTTAAACCCAAACCCGGCCCAAAACCCGTCAACACGGATTTTACCCGCGTTGACCGGGTTGGGTCGGGTGGGTACCCGTGGGTTCGGGTTTTGTTGCCATCCCTAACTGCCACTGGTCATTAAGTATTTTTAAATTCATATAAAACTAACTTCTAACTACAGTAGATTGCTGGAAAATAAGTAGAGAAATACATACTGTACTTATATTATTGAGTTGAACAAAAGTGGCATGGGGGAGGTTCTGGAGAAAGTTCTCGTAGGCATTTGTTGCCGCAAGCTTATTTTATTTTGTTTCTTACTTCTCAGTAGTCAGCACACACTCCATCTCACCTCAGTCCAATCTTAAGAAGCCCAAAGACCAACAAAAATATAGGCTTGGTCCGCCTCATGGAACGATCTGTGTTTATGTAGTTGAGTATAGTAAAAAGACTGAGAGATCTTTCCGTATTATGCGCTGAGCATGGAAAAATAGAATGTGAGGGGTTTTGGAAGAGAACCTCTTTATATGTTTGTTAGGATATAAATGGATGTGCTAGAGTTTTAATTTGAGAATGAAACTTATTAATTTGTTAAGTAAATAAGAGATAAAATTTGGTGCAACTAAAATCACGGCATATCTTTTCTCCTTCCCAATGTTGTTACACGGTTTAGTTGAAAATTTGGGTTCATCTCTTTTTAATTCTTTAATATATTATTTTATTAATTATATATTATAATGATTATTTTTTGCAACACAATTTGGTAAAATGTTGGGTAAACTGTACTCATCTTGATCTTTGTGGGTTCATACGCAACCTTTGTGATTTATGTTGGGTTCACCCTTGATCTTTGTGTATCTGAGGCCATGTGAGTGGGAGGATTCATGTACCATTCAGTTTCTCAATTTCTGATTTCCTTTGATCAATGTAATTGGTTCTCGAGTTTTTTTTTTTACAGTAATTGGTTCTCGAGTTGATGCGGAACAAAGGATGAATTTTACTGTAAAAAAAAAAGTTGCTCAATAAAGTAGCGAGGGAACCAAGGTACTTTATCGGGTATGGCAATCCTTCGCTGAGAAGATTAGTAGAACAGAGTCTTGTCTTTTCCACTTCTGTGCGGACGTCAAGGGGTCGTGATTGCCTGTTTTTTTCTGCAGCTCGAGGTGACCAATTTCTTTGTTAAAGAGTTAAATCTTTCATTTTTGCTACCGCTATATATTAATGCTCTTAGGAGTTTTACCCATTCCCTTTCTCTTTGTGGTTCAAATTGATGTAGAGCATATTCTCATATCCGCCAAAATTCTCAAAATCCCCCCGCTTCCATTCGTGTCTTCACCTGCAATTCTGCAAATGTCGACGTCGAACCCATCTTCTTCGTGGATTTCCCAATTCAAACCGGGCGACCGGGTCGAGGTCAGCTCCGACGACCCCGGGTTCCGCGGCTCCTGGTTCGCCGGCACCGTCATCCGCCGCGAGGCGAAGAACCCTAATCGCTACGTAGTCGAGTACGACCAGCTCTACGAGGACGAATCTGGGGAGAAGCTGCTGCAAGAAACCCTCGATTGGATCCAATTGCGTCCTCCGCCGCCGCCTCCCGAGAAGAAGAAGGTCCAGTTCAAGTTCGGCGACGAAGTGGAGGCCTTCCACAGCGACGGCTGGTGGGAAGGGGCTATTACTGCGGAGCACTCTGGCGGGAAATTCGCGGTGTTCCTCAGAGGCTCAAAGGAGCAGATTGTGTTTGAAGAGAAAGATTTGAGGTTGCCTGTTCAGTGGGTTAAAGGGAAGTGGGAGCCGCGATTCGAACAGGTTGAGCGGGAGAAAGAGGTGAGCTAATTCGATTTTATGACTTTTCCTGCTCCGTTGCTTGGTATGACAATTTTAGGGAATTCTGAATCTGGATCTAGGTGATGAAGTTCACTCAAGGAATGCAAGTCGAGGTGAAAACTGACGAGGACGGTCTCAAAGGTGCTTGGTTTGCTGCAACAATTATTGAACCTTCTGGTGAAGACGAGTACCTTATTGAGTACAAAACCCTGACGAATGATGATGATACTGAGTTTCTCAGAGAAGACATTCGTGCTTGCAACATAAGGCCTTGTCCGCCGGAGATCATTGTTGTGGATGGATTCAAGGTGATGGATGAAGTGAATGCTTACTACAACGAGGGCTGGTGGGTTGGCGTGATTGCAAAGGTTTTGATCAACTGCAATTACGTGGTTTACTTTAAAGAGTATGATGAGAAGATAACGTTCAAGCAGGCTGATTTGAGGACACATCAGGACTGGTTAAACGGCAAATGGGTTGTTCCTTCAGAGGTCTGAATTTTATGCTCTAAATTCTCAAAACACTACTAGCTTTTCTAGTAAATGATACTAGTTGTACGAGCCTGCACTCAATGCATCTCTTTCTATTGTGTTTCTTTTCTATGGGATTATGTTGGAATGAATCTTATCTTTTGATGTTGAATGCTCCTATTGCTTGTTCCAAATGATTTGTGTACGGACTCTCATCTCATGTGAGAGATCACCATTGTTTCTCATTTGAAGGAACTCTGCTCACCCAAATCTCAATCTTTAATCCATTTCAACCCACAAATTCTTCCAAGGCTGTGCATGATCCGATTCGATTCATAATCAAAGAACCGAACTGAATCAAACTAAAAATCAAATCTAAAATAATGGACACAGGAGAACCATTCTGATTTTCTTTCGGCATGCTACTTTCTCTTCTTATACTAGATTAAGGTTCGGCCCGTTGGCCGGATGGAAATGAATATTTAACAATTTTACTTGTTGTATACAGTTTAATATTGAAAAAGTTAAAATATTATTTCATCTTAGAGATATACTAAAAAAATAAAGAATATGAATATTTTAATTTATCAATATACTTCTTGCTAGTAATTTTGCTTATTTATCTTAACTTTCTATTTCGAATATAATGAATACTATCGTGATGATTTGTTCAATTGAAATGAACAATCACGTCAGTTTCATAAAAATATTAGTGAAAATTCACTAAAAACAAAGAATATTTAATGTCTTTATTCAAATTAATACAAAAGCCTATAAGTATTTTTTTTGGTACACATTGTTTCTTGGTTAATTTGATATCTTATTATATTTTCGACGTGGGTAACCAAGTAATGATAAAATAATCTAACTTTTTTGTCTTATCCGATCACATGCATTTTCAAACTCAGTGTGTACAATGAATCTTATTTTGGATGTAATTCGTTTACAAAACAGCTTTTCGCAAAACCTCTAATCGGAGCTTCTGCTTTTATGTTATACAAAACATGTTTGGCTTTAACCGAACTTTTAGAGGTATTTGACCCTGCTTCACCTTTTGAATCCGAAAAGTACTTCTAAAAACCGGACCAAACATAGGATATATGGGCTGAGTGGCTTTTACTCATTTAGCTATCTGATCCATATTACTCGATTTGAATAATACGATATTCCGATTAATTACTTGAATATTAATTAATTACTGTTTGACAATTTTTTCCAAACCTCTGTGATGGATGAACCTTGAAATTGGAGTGGCACAAAAAGTGTTAAGTACTAATTAACTAATACCAGTCGAAGAGCAGTAATAATTATTTATGCTCAAGTTTTATCCTCTTTCCAGTATTATAGTTCCTTCCAGTAATATAGTTCCGAATTCTTATGCGTTTTTATTTTGCCCACAGGAAAAATGAAATAAGATGGTTCCGGCAGGGAATCTTCTTATATTGTTTGGGAGGATTTAATCAGAACAACCCAGTACATAAAAGGCAACAACTGTGCCCACTGAGTAATTATTTTTTTTAGAAACCACTGATATGATTCATTATAATCAAGAATCAACTGCCTCAAAGGCTACAACGTCAGCTACCCTTTGTGGTAGAACATTACAATGAAAATTACAACTGACTCTACCACATCGGGCCAATTTCTTTCTCCTTCACTAGTCTGACCCCATAGAGAATAGCGATTCCTCCTTTTGGCCTCACTTGACATAATTCTTCAGGGGTTTAACTCCTGCGTAGACACACCAAAAATAGCGTCATTCACGATACAGGAAACAAAGTCAGATGGAAGCTTGGGACCACAACAAAGCATACAAATCCTACTTTGGGTACTCATCTGGATAATGTTCTTCTCGCATGTAAGATTCCATCCTTCCCTTCACACTCCCCATGGCAACGACGTATACATATAATGAAAGAAAATCGACAAATCAAACAAATGATATTCATAAAGCAACATATAAAAAATGAAAATTTGTTAAAGTATATGGTCCAGGTTGAAATACTTCCGCAGACCACATATTACTATCATACACTTTTTAATATCAAATATCTAAAATATAGCTCATCCATTTCAAATGCATAAATAATCATACTATTTGTGAAAACTTTCATTAATTTTAAAAATGTCAAATTCGTTGTTCAAAGGACACTATTTTTATATGCACTAATAATTTCACAGTGTATATTATAAGATAATAAATTTTAATATATTAATTATTATTAGTCCAACCATAAAAAAGTTTATTATTATACATTATAATCGACTTAGCCGCCTTTTTTTTGGTCATAGACGACTTAGCCATATTAATATGAAATGATTGAGAGTTGGTTATTTTAAGTATTCGTGCATTATTTCACAAGCCAAAATGGTTTTAGTGTGCAATTTGTAGGCCGGCAGAACAATAAGGTAGTCCATTTGATGGGTAGAAAGACCATTTTATTGTACCCAACTATAAGTCATTTCTTTGATTTTCTGGTCTGACTTAATTTCACCATGTAATTACCTATTTTTGAAAGCAAATATACGATTATCTTTTGCCAAAAATATCTAATAATATAATAATTAACGAAACACATCCCGGCCAACAGGCCGGGCATAAATCTAGTTAATTGAGAAACTAATTAAATGCGAGTCAATTCCATTTCTGTATTTTATTAATTACTCAATTTCCAAGTGGCTGTTTTTTATTAGTTGAGAGTACCATGTCAGTAAAATGACGTGGTGATCTCGGAGCATGGAAGAATTTCGATTGCATCCACTCTATCTAAAAATACCAATGCTATAGTGCCACATCTACAAGAACCACTCGTGTCATATGCCAAATTCGGGACCTGCTACCCGCCACTCATTTGGTCTTCTGCACCAAATACAATCACATACCCTATAAAACATATTTATGGAATTCCAACATTTTATCCCTGATTTTAAATGTACCCTAAAGACAAGCCAAGTTATGTAGCCAGCCTTAATTGACAAATGTGTGGCATTTTCTAAATCAATATAGTGTAACAAGCATTAAGAACACAACTACATTAAGAACACAAATACCAATTGCTTCTACACAACATTTAGGATGACAATTACGTTTTCAGAAACCTTTTGCTTCTCATACCAATGTCGATTAATTTCCTACCATATAATAACGTGATGCAACATAAGAATAACCAATATTAGGTTCAGTACGACAATCACTATCAATAAAGGTCGAATTACATGGATTTCATGATTAACTCTCCTTCCTTCAGCTAGCATAATTTCATGTGCCTTCATCCATCTTGATAGCTCTTCAGCCAAAAGTTTCTTCTCCTTCTTCCTCCTTTCCGCCTTACAATCAGCTAGCCTCAAACTTTCTTCAATATTCAAAGTCGAACACCCAATTTCAAAGTCATGGTGCTTATCTTCATCGACATTCATTCACACCCACCTAAAAAAACGACAGTTCTTCTTCTCGTCCTGCACCATACGAGCATTTAACTTAGAACCCACATCAATGACAATTTCAAAACCCATATCTAAACACCTTACCATCCAAAATGGACACCCATAGAACTGTCTTCCTGGGTTCGCTTCGGTTCCAGATGTATTCACCACACATGGCTTCTTGTGCCAAAAGAGTACCGCCCCTCGGCTATTGATGCTAGTCGAAGTTGAGGAAGATGCTCGCTTGGACATGGCTGACCTTCGCGTGAAGTTCTGGCCAGGAGAAATCGCGATTTCGGGGTCGCGAATCGGCCGAGAAGAAGTGGGATTTGGGGAAGAAGGAAGAAGCGTCGAGTCGTTCAGAAACTAGAAGAAGATTTGGGGAAGAGGAGTAAGCATCGATAAGCTTCGTGTATCTCCTTCGTGGGGAAGAGGAAATTTGGGAAGAACCCTAATTTCGTTTTCTAGAAAGAGATGGAGAAGAAGGAAGCCCTAATTTCGTTTTCTGGAAATAGATGGGGATTTTTGGTAGCCTCGCGCGATCAGGTAGATGGGGAAAGTTTTAAATTTTTTTAATAATAAATAAATTATTAAGATGACGTGTCAATTTTTGCTTTGTTGTCGCTGACGTGGTTGATGATTTGGCGCCTCGTCAGCGAACCGTCAAATAAGTTGACGGAGTTATTAACGCCGTCATAATTTCTAACGAAAATGGCTATATCTGCCACGCAACATTAGGGGTGAACAAACATACCCGCAAACCGACCCACCCGTCCAAACCGACCCAACCCACCCGTATTTATCGCTAAAACAAAGATTTTGGGTTGGGTGAGGGTTTTGTTTTGTACAACCCGCCTCTTTTGGGTTGGGTTTGGATTTTGGATTACACAACCCGTAGAACCCGACCCGACCCGGGTTTAGGGTTTTAAGGTTTAGTGGTTTAGGGTTTAGGGTTCAGGGTTTGATATTTTCCAAACCGTAGTGCATGGGTTGGGTGATAAAATGGCTAAACCCGGACCACCCGACCCATGTACACCCCTACGCAACATCTTTCAAAAGTGGCTATTAGTGGTATTTCGCCAAATGTGGCTATAAGTGGCACAAAGGTGGAATTCAAAAGACACGCAAATTTTTGGCGGAAAAAAAAGCGCTATTCTGAGAAGGTAAAAGCCAAATTTTAACAATTTTGAATTTTCTTTTTACGTTGCATTTTGCCGCTAACATGTACACTTTTTCTTACTCATTTTTGTAATGAAAAATTAGAGAATGGATGGTTATTACTTTTTTCAATTCACCACAAATAAAATTTATCATAGTTTCAATATTAAAATATGAAATTAATTTCGTATATAACTAATAGACTCAATATTCAACCAACATCACACAACCGTCACAAACCATTTTTAGGTGATCACAAGGAGAATAATGATAAAATCATATATATGTGTAAGTTAATGGTGTTGGTATCTACTATTGGTTAAAACATTGGGTTTGGGTGCTCTCCCCTCCAAAATAACCCCATCAAACCAAATTACATCCATGGAATGGTTTCGTAAAGCTAAACCCATGTGGATGGCGATTTCTATTTGCTTACCTCCAACCAAATGATGTATTAACACATCATCACCTGCCATTTTCCATGTGTACGAATTATTAAGAGCAATTAGTTGATGGATGGTAATGGAACCCTTACCTGTACTATTCCTCACTCAAACCACCAATCATCAAACTTATCCAACCCTTTTAACTTGGATAAGAGGTGGAGAAAGATGGATGTGTCAACACCAACGTGGCCTTAGGCAAAAATGAGGTGGAAATTCTACCGCCCACCATTTACCACATACACATGAATTAAAAAGATCACTTTCCCATGCCTCCACATACAAAAGGCAAGGTGGATGGGTGTGTTATTTACTCTCAATTAGTTGGATTTTAGCAAGAGAGTTGGTCACAAAAAGAATCTCAATTCATCACTACCTACAATACTACACGTGCCCTGATGAGCCCTGATGAGAAGAGATGTGGAGCAGGCAATTTTGATTATTGCCATCACAATAACATTTCCCCATCTTCCACATACTTATATACATGGCTTTGTAGAAAGACACTAGGTAAATCAATTTATTTTATTTCTAATTTTATTTTGATATGCGTTTGATTGTAGCCATCCACCCATTGCACTCGGGTTGTCTGGGAGGTAACGTATTATTTTTATTTTATTACGAGCACACCATCTACGCCAAAAGCAGGAGGCACATATAAATAAGACGGTCATAGTGACATGTATATTTGTCACAAATAATGTCAATTGTGGTAATATTTCTGACACAAATACACTTTTCGATGTCTAGTTGTCACAAATAATTACATGCTTGCACTATAAGAAAAAAGAGTTTCAGCTACCATTTTCTTGGCAACCATAGAAAAATGGTTGCTTATAACCAAGTTTCGACAACCATTCACAAAATAGTTGGTAATGCCAAAATGGTTCGTTTTCCTTTTTCAAATTTATTATAATATCTCAAAATTAAAATTGGTGATGATTTCTTTTCCTTTTTCAAATTTATTATGTACCCAATTTCTTTTTCCCGTTGATTTAGTTACTTTTTTTGAACTTTTTAATTGAAGGAAGCATCAAATAGGCGGCGGTTTTTCTTTTCCATTGAAAAAGTAAACAAAAAAATGGATTAAACGCAAACCGCTACTTTCTGCCGTTTTTATGCTTCCAGGACCGGATCAATGTCCGAGTCCGGTTTTTTTCGAGCTAACCGGCCGGTCCGGCCCGGTTTTCACATCATTGATAACTATACATTTTAATCACACCTAATGGTTCAAATTCATTTAAAAAAATATGGTCAGCTCCCCATAAATCCCTTATTTCCCTCTTTACTGTTCTATGATATGGACCATTAGATCTTTCTTTTCCAAATTACAACCATTGGATTAGATTTTGTAGGACTACAAAATCATGGTTTTGTACGGTAACCTGCACCATATTAAGGGAATAGATACGGTACAAAATTCACATGGATACGGTACAAAATTCACCACTACCATACTCAATCATTTAAAAAAATTCCGTAGAAAGAATACACTTATTAAGCACTACACAATTACTAGTCATACAATTATTAGTCATATTGCCACTGGTCATTAAGTATTTTTAAATTCATATAAAACTAACTTCTAACTACAGTAGATTGCTGGAAAATAAGTAGAGTAATACATTCTGTACTTATATTATTGAGTTGAACAAAAGTGGCATGGGGGAGGTTCTGGAGAAAGTTCATGTAGGCATTTGTTGCCGCAAGCTTATTTTATTTTGTTTCTTACTTCTCAGTAGTCAGCACACACTCCATCTCACCTCAGTCCAATCTTAAGAAGCCCAAAGACCAACAAAAATATAGGCTTGGTCCGCCTCATGGAACGATCTGTGTTTATGTAGTTGAGTATAGTAAAAAGACTGAGAGATCTTTCCGTATTATGCGCTGAGCATGGAAAAATAGAAGGGAGTTACTATTTAACGTCCTAATTTTTTAAATTTTACGCCCTAAACTTACCAAACAGACGATTATGCCCCCAAGTTACCCTAATCCCTCAAAATACAAATTTTCGCCCTAGATACATCTCGCTTTGCTGCTCTGTTGCGGATTCCCGTCACTGCTCCGCATATCTCAATTGCCACCTTTGCTGTTGCGCCTCTTCCCCTCTCCCCAGCACAAACACAGACCCGCCTCCAACGGAAATCCAAAGCGACACCTTTAAGGAGGAAGGTGAAGTCACGTCGTCGCCGAGAAGGAAGGAGAAGCTCGTCGTCTGGTTCCGCCCCTCCTACTGCCGCCGCCGCCGCCCACCTCTGCTGCTCCCGAACTCAAGGTGGAAGAAGATGAAGGAGGCTCCTCGAACTCGAGGAGGAAGAATCCCGCCGGCCTGGGTTCTATTCCGTCGCCGCCGCCTACCTCTGTTGAGCTCGAGGAGGAAGAAGAAGGAAAATCGGCTCCCGGCCTGTCCTGATTCCTCTGGCGAAGGCTGGTTCCTAGCTTGTCCTGATTCCTCCAGCGATGTCGAGTAGGGCTGAGTCGGGTAGCCCAGAGAATTTCGATGGAAGGATGAGGAGGCGGAGGTAGAGGCAGAGCACCGAAGAATTTGGGCAGCGGCTGATGAGGTGGGGCTTTTGGTTTAGAGAGAGGAGAGCGGGAGGTGATCGTCGTCGAGATTCAGCACCAGTGGAAGCTTTCGAAATGTAGGGACCAAAAGCGGTCGGAAAGAAGACCAAACTCCGCTGCACCCGTCTCCCCCTCAGGCGGATGCTCAAAAAGACAGTCTCTTCCACTGGTCGGCCGGGATGATAATACATGCGGCGGCAGACGGCGGTGACAGGGCGCACCGAGCAGCATAGCGAGGAATTTTTAGGGCGACAAACTGGTTATGGATTAGGGATAAGTTGGGGGCATAATCGTCTGTTTGGGTAAGTTTAGGGCGTAAAATTTAAAAAGTTAGGGCGTTAAATAGGAATCCAGAAATAGAATGGGAGGGGTTTTGGAAGAGAACCTCTTTATATGTTTGTTAGGATATAAAGGGATGTGCTAGAGTTTTAAT